AATTATGTGGTGATACTTACCTGAAAGAGGACTTCAATCATATAAGCGATACGCTTATCACACTGACTTTCATTTAGAATGCGCCTGAGATGCTCAAAGATACCGGCTAGAGCCTTAGGTGCTGCACGCGAAAGGAAAGCGCCGCACTCTTTCAACACCGCTACCGAAACCTCAACACTGTCATCTGTGGTCTGTTCCAGAAGAAGAGTAAGGAGTTCTAACACTATCAATTCGTGAGCCACCTTCTGGTTCACCAAGTGAGCAAGAAACCTTGCTGTAGTCAAGCAGCGATCCTTCTGGTTCCGACGAAAAGCCTTCCGAAATTCATTAACTAATCGATTTAGAAGCAACTCCCCAACCTACAACCAAAAACACTTTAAACAAGACGAAGAGAACACAGACTCCTATCCAAAACCACAATTACCTGTGGAAACTTGGTATTAACAACCGCTATTAAAGCGGCGAAAATGTGCGTGAAAGTAGGCGACGCCATCTGCGAGGTGATCAGAGACTTGACGAGCAGACCTCGACCACGAACAATGTTCTCTGAAAGAAGCTGACGCACGACCTGAGCAATGTTGGAGACATTGACTTTGTTAATGAGTCCATGGATGGACTTTTTGAGAGCTTCCCAAGCAATACGTTGATAGGCCTCAGATGACTTGTCTGTTATTTTTGCCTGCATTTGGCGCAGACGAGCAGGAGGAATATAAGCACCACCGGTCTTCCCAAAAATGTTTACGTCTCTGGCTGCGGCAGCTGACTTGTCCATGGATGAGCCGTCACTAGCTGCTGACATTTTAACTTCCTTGGGTGACGTTGATGGAGAAACAGAACGTGAAGAAGACCGCCTGGACCATCGCCTCGAATACTCCTTCGAAACGAGTGTTCCATCTTCGCTTCGAATATTCTTGAACCTCTTGGTCACAATGGGAGACGTGGAACGGGATGAGGAAGACTGCCTACGGCGGCGACGACTAACAGACTCGCTATTTTCAGAGCGACTCTGTTCAGACGCTACTAATTTATGGCGCGGAGAAGAAGACTGTTTACTTCCAACATCAGGATTTGTGAGATGAGCAGCCTTAATGAGATTCTTGCGAACGCCTTCGTCAGAGGACATCTTAGTGAATATACACACAACCTCGTTTATACGGAACCAATCAAGTATTTACCTCAATCTTAGCGATAAAGGCAGGATTTCCTCTAAAATGTCTCATATTTTTTACAAAATACTGCTGCAATGACAACAAATTTTTAAATTTTAAATTGTAATTGGATTAAGTAGCGGTACGAATCAAAAAAATATTCAAAGAACGAAAGAATTAAACAACGCGTACTCTAGTA